CCCATTGTCCCCAGCCCCCGACAGGCCTGGCCCCGCACCCTGCAGCATGTCCTGTGCCCCGGATCGTGCAACCAGCCCTTACCTTGCAGTGCCCGACTGTCCCCCTGCTCATTAAAGTTACTTATCCCAGAAAAGCTCGCATAGGGCCCGGGAGCGAACCCACAGACAAAAGTGAAACTTTGGTAGGGCTGGAGCGACTGCTGGTTGGTGCCTTTCCCCCGCCTTCCTTCCCACCACCCCCCCATCCTCCCCTCGGTCTCCTATGCAGTGCCCTGAGAGCTGGAAGCTGATGTCAGGGGCCTGAATTCCTGACTTTGCCTGCACGCATTTGTCCATCTAAGGTATGGGAAGACGGGTGTCCGGGAGCCACATGGCACTGCCTACTGGGGGAGGGGGTGCCCGCGGCGGGCAGGAGTTGTGCCAAAAGGTGGGAGTACAGCGGATATTTTATTTCCTGGAAATGAGAGGAGGGGACCTAGGGATGCAGGGTGTGTCTGCTGGCTCTGGCCCCAGTGACCCAGGAAGCCAAGCCTGGCAGGGGAGCTCTGTGGCTCTGGCCAGCGCCGCCATCTTTGTCACATCAATTTGCATATTCCCTCCTTATTGGCTGTGGGCACTGCCATCTTTATCACAACGTGACAGTTAATTTGCATATTACTCTTTTATTAGGATATATATATATATTTATATAGTTACAGAGGCAAGATATCTAAACTAGAGTGTAAATAACTCTTTTCACAACCTACCTACCAATGTTATCATTTGTTTCCAATATACACACATACCATCAATATTCCAGGCAGTGTGGCTTTCTCATTCATCCTCAAATACGTGATTATTCCTAGTTGTGTACTATCATTAAAAATAACTACCAGCACTTGTTTAATATTAAAAATTTTCAAAGAACTCTGACCAAGATCATTTTATTTGATTGTGAAAACATCCCTATCAAAATAAATAAGGGTCACTGTATTTCCTTATTTATAGATGAGGAAACTGAGGTTTGGTTAGAGAAAGTGATTTAGCCTTGAACACTTGCCTAGCAATTAGCAAAATGGAAGCAAAAATGCAGGTTCAGAGCCCAGTGTTCTCCCGTATTTTAAGGGTATGGCTTCTCTTCATATAACCGAATTCTACCTATTCTTCAAAATCCTTCTCTTCCAACTTACCTTACTGCCTATCTCCATCCTCTTCATAAAAAAAATTATTCCCTTCTCTGAAGTCCCACTAATCACAGAGTCATCTCACTGGCCATTAATTTTTGTATTCATTGACAGTGTATTCTATGGCGTTACATAGTACTCTCTGAGTATATTTCCTGGCTACCCTACTGTGCCACAAGCTTCTTGAGGTCTCCTCTGCTGTACCTTAGTACCCCCCTGGAGCACCAACCAGCTCTTTTGTTTTGCCTTTGTTCAAGCCTGCCTGATATCTCTTCATTTGCCTCCAGCCTTTGATATCCCTATCTCTGTTTACAGCGGCCTTGGGGCATGACCAATTTTCCATCACAGGTAGTCTTGGTAGCACTGTCAATCAAGGTCCTTTGCCCTCCCTTGGACAAGGGGTGTTCTTGTTCTGCACACTAGGCTAATTAGTTTCTCTTTCTAATTAGAATTGGAATCAAACATAGGGAGAGGAGGAGAAAAATGGTTGGAGCTAATACACCCAAAAGACAACTTCCTGAAAAGACTTTTGATTAATTCCTGCTCCTTGCATTCTCAAAGCTGCCATAGTTTCTGTTCTTTTAAAGGCCAAGTTCTTCCCTCTTTGTTCAGTTTCTGACTGAGCTACCTTATACCCTCCCATTAAACTCCATTTTTTTTTTTTTTGCTTACATAGGGCAGAGTCACTTTCTGTTGCTTGCAAACAAAGAACCCTGTCTGATATAGTACCCACAAAGCTTAGTGCTTAGGGAGTGCTGAGTATTTTTAAATGTTCTGTTTTTATGCAGATTATATGTTATTATAAGCTGAAAACATAAACAAATGACCCTGTGGTGCAACACTGCTATTGGTTAGAATGTTAATAACCAGCAGGCAAGCATAGGCCAAGCTAACACTGGGACCTCATCTGCATGGAAATGATTTTTATTACAATTCAGCCCCCTAGTTTGGTGACTCACAAAGTGATAATTCACTGCTGAAAATTAACAAAACATTTCGTGGTGAGGGTAGTACTTATAGTAATGATACCCTTTAGTGATATTTGACATTTAGGTTAACCCCTCTGTTTTCCTTCTCTTCCCAAATATTGCAGGAGCCAACTGTGGCCATCTGAATTTTTAATATGACTTTACTACAAGATACATCTAATAAGTTTAACTGGCTCCTTTGTAGCTAGGTGAATATTTTAACATACTCTATAGCTTCTTGTGAAAAACGTTGAATTGCAGTTTTAAATTCACTGAGAAAGAAAATTACCATTAGAATAATTTAGGTGGTTGAATGGTATATTTAAAGCCTAATCAGTACTCTACAAAGAAAGTTTCCTGCACTATTTTTTAAGAAAAAAATAACACTAAGAAAAATCAATCAAGTAGTATTTTATAATATAGCTGGAATTTAACAGCAATTCTAGCTAATCACACATCAGTACTTAGTTAATTCAGTTTCGAACAGATTATAAACTTAAGCTATTTCTATGTACTTCAGTAAATTTCTGTCATTTTAGACATTTACATCTATTGAGAATCCTTTGTATTCAAGGAACGTTCCTAGACATTATGGGAATATCATGATATCATGCATATATATGATATTTCTCTTTCTTAATGACAAGATAAAAATCCTACTGAAAACTAGGGGGTGCATTTTAAAACATTCACCTCTTTCTCTTTTAGAACACCTATTACTACATGATAGTATTTCCCACAAGATTATTTTTTATTTTACTTGAAGTTGGCAAAAATCTCTGTGCTGAATCCTTTGAGCATCCCTCTAGTGATAGATGTCAGAGCAGCGTTGTGAGGAAGAACTTGTATTTGACAGGGAGATGACAGGAAAAAGCCTCTCTCCGAAATATAAGATGCAACTGTAAAATCCTTCTGTGAGATTAATATCATCTTTTGTTCCTGTGTATAAATGACTTATTCATTCTTGCTTAAAAAAATCTGTTCATGTAATTAATTTGAATAGTGTGAAATTAAGACACTTAAATAGGTACATTTTAGGAGTTTGTTTCAAATATTTTATATGAATTAAATGTGAAATAGGTATATAATACAAATTGCCAATTATATTTTTTAACTTCTAATATTTCTATAATCATCAACCAAGATTCACTCACTGTACATATAGCATGTACTCTAAACAAGTAGCATCTTGGTAAGAGATTATTTTATTATGAATATATGATATGCAATACAATGAAAAAGTCTTAAATATTTACTTTTGTCCTACAAATCTGGCTATGATTTATTCCAGTTTACTAGAAGCACTGCCTTAGTCTCTCTGGCATTATAAAATAATTTCACATGTCCCCTAATATCACAAGAAGAAGGAGTAAGATCTTTTTTGACAAATTTAACATTCTGGGTGTCTTCCTTTCTTTCTTCCCTTATATCCCTCAAAAATAAATCAGGAGCAAAAAGATAGAATTCCATTATATATCCTATTATCTACAAATGCTATTCTTTATGTCTGAGTTAGAACTACCAGAAGCAAATCATTTTTGATACATATTAAAATGCTTGTCCATGTATATGTAATGCACATCTATTTAATGCATGAATAGAAAAGAAATTTATATCCATTCCTAGATCTAGGATTCTCGTTATAATATACTTCAAGAACTAACCAAAATTCTGCAATGTTTTCAGATGTGAGAGGAAAAAAAGGTGAAAGAACGGTGAGATGTCAAAGATAGATTGCTTGTTTTCAGATTTATTTTCATCTCTAGCTTTCTACAGGCCTTCACCTCAGTCTGTTCAGTTTTCTCTATAACAGACAGATCTTTTCTGAATAAGGTGGTTTGCTCTAGCCTAGAAAAGGACATACATAATCACTTTTGCACTTCTCTGTTTCTTTGTTTACTTTTCACAAGAATTAAAATCTCAAAAATAATACTATGTAATGGCCCAATCCAAACAATAAGACAATTATCACTTGATTTCTTAAAACTTTTTGTAAATGCACTAGATACGTAGTATATGCTTAGTAACACAACACTATTCAACCATGAAGAGTATTATTTTCTTAGAGTAGAATAAGCAAAGCACATTTAAGAAGTTTCTGGCTATTCGCTGAAATTCATTCCTCAAATATTTTTTGGAGAGGCATAAAATAAGTACAAAGAGATTGAAATTCAAGATTTCATCTATATTACAAAAGCAAATTTTATTGATATACAAACTCTAGTAATATTTGATCAGAAAGAGTTTACAAA